CCCCAAAACCCCAAAACCCCAAAACCCCAAAACCCCAAAACCCCAAAACCCCATTTTTATTTAGAAATATTGAAATATTTATATCATGAAAGATAATTCCAAATTTGTAGAGGGTGTTCTTGATTTCCAGGAGGATGTCCAAGGTATTTACTGTTAAACTTTCTTCTTACATCCAGCACTAAGCTATCTGTTGGCAGAAGAACCAAGACAAAGGCTTATTGCGGCCTGTACATCTGGATAATATCGATTTATTTAACACTTTAGTCACAAACTTTCATTAGAACATTTCGTTTTAGGTGAGGAAATTATGAACCGAATTATGTCAAATTATGAGGAGGAAGTTACAAAAGCACCTCTTCATATCAGTTGTGTCCCTCATTTAGAGGATGAACTGAGGCATGGTCATCAGCTTAATATGGACAATGATTCATCAAACTTTAAAGGTCTCAAAGGGTTCACAGGAAAAGATTTATTAGAGTATGAACAGTTTGTGAACTCTCAAGGGCTTGATATCCAAATTGATCCATACAAGCAAGGATTCTGGTAAGTTTTCAAATCCCATTTGTAAAGTTTTACCTTCTGATTAAGCTTATGTACTAATGAATTTTCAGATTTGATCAAACCCAAGAAAAAGTTACAGAAGCATCTAACTTATTAGAGAATTATAATACTGGAAGCAATACAAAGGCATCTAAGCGTGCTTCCTCCCTCAACCACGAGGTTAGAGACGAAAAGTAACTACATCGTATCATAATAGATTTTTAAGGAACTATGCTAAAATTCACAAGCCAAAAGAGCGGAATGGAGTCAAGAATATTAGAAAAGTGGCAATGAAAATGATCAAGTCAGGCTTAACCAATATCAAATAGCTTTAAGAAGCTTAACAAGACCGTTTGTTAAATATCCTCTGATGTTATAGGGTAACTTCTTCCGTCAGAAAAAGTATCAAGACCTTTTTCAAACAGCTGCCAAGAATTATGGGTTTATCATAAAAGAGCCTGAACGTAATAAGAGGAGCAAAAGTGTTCTAACAAAGAAGAAACTTGAAGGAACTCTATCAGTGAACAGCATCAATAATTCAGGATTTAAGAACAACCATATCCCAGCACAGATGAATATAGTCTGAGACTTTCATAAAGGAAATGCCATTCGGTATAAATATCTCCAAGAGCATTTGAGAAGGGTAGACCAACAGAATAAGACATATATTCGGAGGAAGATCTCTCCATTTTTGATTCAAAAAGAGAAATATAATACCCTGGATTATCATAAGCCAAACAAGAAGGGAGTAAAGCTTGCCAAAACTCCTAACATAGCAGCCGACGATAAGGAAGAAGGTATTATAAGATATAGCATTTGCTTATAAAACTCTGTTGATTGACAACCTCTTTATCCAATAACCTTTAAATTTTCTAACTTATTGTTACCATAGAATACAACATTGATGAAAAGCATGAGGATGAGTCATTCGATAGATTAGAGTCTTGTGAAGAGATCAAAAATAGTATTTATGATGACAACCATTTCTCAAAGACACAGCAGAATTTTCACAAGAAGATTGATGAATGTTTAAATATGGCCTCTAATCCAAGCTTAAACCACATCAGTAAGGATCTAAGTCAAAATAAGAAGGCTCTGATCATCTCTGGTATTCAGAAATAAGAGGAAAACCATCACGAAGCTTATCAGTGGTAAGCCAAATCATCTTAACATTTAGAGAAAAACAAGACAGTTTCTAAAGACAAAGAAACTAAAAAGGAGGATAAGGTGTATACTAATGTGGGTAAACCACAGAGAAAGAGCAATTCAATGATTCCTAATAAAAATTTGAGGAATGAAAAGTTTCAATATCAGACCAATTTGCCCTATCAGAATGGGCCTAATGGATGGGAGGAGAAAGCCCCCACAACTGTAAACTTTGGAAAGAAGAAAACTCTCATTAATCGTATGAACATAGGTGATCTCCCTCACTTTGAAAAATAAAAAGGCTTTCATGCATATTGAAATTACTCCTTCTCCTAAGAAATATGTGAAGAAGGAGTCTAAGATCTATATTAGTAATAATCCTGGGATTTCGAGGATGGAGAAAAAGAACCAGAATGAGACTCGAAACCTCAGCAACACTCATAATTTTCATGCTGATTCTTTGAAGACCCAAGATTTGTATTCCAAACAGAAGGAAATTTCTCATTTGTCGATCAATACACCTGCTAAGAGCTCACCTCTAAAAATAATTGAATCGAAAAACTTATTCTCTGGAGCATTATCGACTGTGTATAAAGATTCTAAGGAAAATATTAGGTGAGTTTAGCTATTGTCAAACTTTAGGACTACGATTCCATCACCTTTAAGGACATATATGCAGAGCAAGATGATCATTCAGTCGAGAAAGGGTATCAAAAGAGCTAAAAAGGCTACATATGAGATTTCACAGAAGCATTCAATCACTCTTAATAAGTCTAAAAATATGAATGATCTCTGTCCCAAATGTGGGAAAGTTCCATGATGAGGGAAGAATACATGTCAGAACAACATCGATATAATCAAGGCTGGGTTTCTTGGGAAACAAAACCGAATGAAAAGAGTCATGAAAGTCATTAACAAAGATTTTAAAGACAAGTGTAACATTATGGTACTTTCAATTTATTTAAAATTTAGGAGAGAAAACATCGAGCGAACATCCATAAACTTGACAACAAGAGCAAATCAAATGTTCCTAAACTGTTCAAATCTCATGTGAATGATGTCTTGTTTAAGGCTAAGAGGACCAACAAGGCTGAACATGTCTCAGAGAGTCCTTTTGTGGCTATGCTAGAGACTATTGACCAACAAAGATTACTATCAAAAGCTGATGCGAGGGTAAAACTATAGTAAATAAAATTCAATCTTTCTGAAACTTTATGGGGTTTTGGGGTTTTGGGGTTTTGGGGTTTTGGGG